GGAAATGCAGGGTTATAGGAAAAGATTAGGGGGATGGATCTGGATGGGATGCTGTTTGGAGGGGCATTGTGGACTTGTTGGGCTGACCGGCCAGTTTCCACACTGTAGGGGGTCAATGATTTTATGACTTCGGAGTCCTAGTTCACGATTCACTTCTCCCCTTGATGGAGGGATGAATTACCAGGGGGCATAGATTTAAATTAAAGGGTAGAGGTTCAGAGGAGATGTGAGGAAAGACTTTTTCACCCAGGGGGTGTTGGGAATCTAGCTGTAAGGGTATTAGAAGGAGAAACTCTCATATCATTTACGGAATATTTAGATGTGCATTTCTGACATCAAGGCCTACAAGGCTATTGGGCAAGAGCTGGAAGATGGGATTACAATAATTAGGTGGTTGTTTTTGACCAATGTGATGTGACGGACCAAAGCCTGTGCTGTAGATTTCTATGACTCTATGACTCAACCCTGTCCCTTGTCAATGTGCAGTGACCCTGAGGTTAAACATCATCAGTTGTCTCTCTCTAATGAGAGAGACGAGGCAACATTACCTTCCCTGATTTGTGTCATATTGACCTAGAGTCATCGAGTCATAGAATCGTACAGCACAGAAACAGACCTTTCAGTCCAACACATCTGCGCCAACCAGACAACCCAATGTGACCTAGTCCCACTTGCCAGCATTTGGCCCATATCCCTCTAGACCCTTCCTATTCATATATCCAGATACACTTTAAATGTTGCAATTGTACCCATCTCCACCTCTTCCTCTGGCAGCTTGTTCCATACACGTACCACCATCTGCATGAAAAAGTTACCCGTCAGGTCCTTTTTAAATCTTTCCCCTCTCACCTTAAACCTATGCCATCCAGTTTTGGACGCCTTCGCCCTAGGAAAAAGACTTTGGCTATTCACTCTATCCATGCCCCTAGTGATTTTCCCTCAGCTTCCTATTCTCCAAGGAAAATAGCCCCAGGCTATTCAGCCTCTACCTATAAATCAAAACTTTCAACTCTGGCAAAATGCTTGTAAATCACTTCTGCGCCCACTCAAATTTAACAACAATCAGAATTGTATGAAGTATTCTAAAAGTGGCAATGATGTCAGCTAATGCAGTGTGGAGCTGGAGGAACACAGCTGGCCAGGCAGCATCAGAGGAGCAGGAAAGCTGACATTTCGGGTCTGACCCGAAACGTCAACTTTCCGGCTCCTCTGAGGCTGCCTGGCCTGCTGTGTTCCTCTAGCTCCACACTGTGTTATCTCTGACTCCAGCATTGGCAGTTCTTACTATCTCTGAATGATGTCAGCTAACGCTGATATGTAGACGTGCACATTGATGAATTTCTTACCTTGTGAAATGTATTTTGCTTGCAAAGTATTGTGCTTTGCAGGAAATCTTAAATATAATTAGCAAATGCTGGAAATACCCAACGGCTATCAGACATCATCTGAACAAAACAAACAGACTTACCCTTTCAGTTCTCCAACTCTTCATTGAAACCTGAATGGCATGATTCCATTGTCTACATCTGTTTGTGTATATTGAAGTGTGTTTAAATTGCAGCTGAAGTAGTCATGGATTTAAACATTGAGAGGCATTGTAAATATCTAACTTAATAAGAAACTGACTCGTGTACATCAACAAATCTAGAAAATGGTTCAGCACAATTTTTTAAAACACCTTCTCTGAACTGAGATCAGGTTAGTCACATAATTACTCTTGTTAAAAATGTTTATTTTTTAAGATAGATTTGTTGGATTCATAAAACAACCCCAATTTATCACTCAATGCATGTTTTTCAATGCAAGGCAAAATGATAAGCAACTGTGTTCTATTATGTTATCCAATAGTTCTGGCTCATGAATTAATTTTTTTCTTCTTTAAAAATTCTTTCATGGGATGTGGGCATCACTGGCTGGTCAACCCTGGTGGGATAGGAACCTATTCAGGACATAAGCCTGGAGTTCTGCATTATTAGTCTAGTGGTATTAACATTACCCCACAACCATTTGCAACGCTACTCATGAATTTTAACAAAATTTATTTATGTCCAAATCATTTCTCAGTTGTGCCCCAACGTGAAACTTTATCTTTGGTTCTATGTCTCATGGATCTTGTCTCCTCCTGGAACTTTCCTGTGCCATTTCTTACTGTTTTGAAAATATTTCAAGTCACAACCAGCAGTACTTCAAAAGGCTAGAATTTAGGTCACAGTTTGAGTTTTTCCTCTCAGCTGAATTTGTCGGCTTTATTCCGCTGTTTCTCGCTTGCACTGAGGAGAATATCACAAACCAAAGACGTAAGCTCAGTCTCACAGCCAGTTACTAGTGGTGTACCTCAAGGATCTGTTTTGGGGCCACTGCTGTTTGTCATTTTTATAAATGACCTGGATGAGGGCGTAGACGGATGGGTTAGTAAATTTGCGGATGACACCAAAGTCGGTGGAGTTGTGGATAGTGCAGAAGGATGTTGTAGGTTACAGAGGGACATAGATAAGCTGCAGAGCTGGGCTGAGAGGTGGCAAATGGAGCTTAATGTGGAAAAGTGTGAGATGATTCACTTTGGAAGGAGTAACAGGAATACAGAGTACTGGGCTAATGGTAAGATTCTTGGTAGTGTGGATGAGCAGAAAGATCTCGGTGTCCACGTGCATAGATCACTGAAAGTTGCCACCCAGGTTGATAGCGTTGTTAAGAAGGCGTACAGTATGTTAGGTTTTATTGGTAGAGGGATTGAGTTTCGGCGCCATGAGGTCATGTTGCAGCTGTACAAAACTCTGGTGCGGCCGCACTTGGAGTATTGCGTACAGTTCTGGTCACCGCATTATAGGAAGGATGTGGAAGCATTGGAAAGGGTACAGAGGAGATTTACCAGGATGTTGCCTGGTATGGAGGGAAGGTCTTATGAGGAAAGGGTGAGGGTTTTGAGGCTGTTTTCGTTAGAGAGAAGAAGGTTAAGAGGTGACTTGATAGAGACATACAAGATGATCAGAGGATTAGATAGGGTGGACAGTGGGAGCCTTTTTCCTCGGATGGTGATGGCTAGCACGAGGGGACATAGCTTTAAATTGAGGGGTGATAGATACAGGACAGATGTCAGAGGTAGGTTCTTTACTCAGAGAGTAGTAAGGGCGTGGAATGCCCTGCCTGCAAAAATAGTAGACTCGCCCACTTTAAGGGCATTTAAATGGTCATTGGATAAACATATGGATGATAATGGAATAGTTTAGGTTAGATGGGCTTCAGATAGGTTTCACAGGTCGGTGCAACATCGAGGGCCGAAGGGCCTGTACTGCGCTGTAATGTTCTATGTTCTATGTTCTAAGAGGTTTCGGATCATTTTCTGAATATCTTTCGTTTTCTCTTATATATTCTGTACCTCCATTCGCAATCAAAGCAAGGTCAGAGATAATTAACAGTAATGAGGGACTGAGGCAGCTGAGTAGGATTGCCACACAGTTCGCTACAGAGTGTAAAACACATGAGAGTTCTGAGAAATAAGCTGGATTTGTAGAGGGGTCTGAGTAAAAGGGGCTAAACAAGATCTATGACAGTACAATGAGACCTGCTTCCACTACTTCCTCAGTTCATTTCATAGCTTCACCTCTCACTACATTAATGCTATTCCTCACAACACCTTTGGATTTCATGCCAATCCCATATTAGTCTCATTATAGCCTATCTCGACATTGGCAACATTTTGCTGCATCATTTATACTTTGTCGATTGTTGAGGTGGATTTCTAGCTAGACAGTGGCGAGTTGCCACTTAAGACGGATTACTGCTTGTTCAGCACCCAGTTCATGGCCCAGCTCACCTCATTAATGTTCAGCTGACCATCTGCCGAATGAATTGGCCATCGAGAGTTCTCAACATGAAAATTAGAGTGAGTACCTGGCAACTTCAGCTCCTGGCTAGCTCCAAAGGACCACTAGGCTGGACACGGGGCAGCAACACCTCAGGTGTGCATCAAGGTAAGAGCATCAGCCACATGCAGCCCATTTCCATGGATATTGGCATCTGACACGTGGCAGCCAATGACAACCCTCATGGCACGTCTCCAACTCAGCCTAAAGGATGGTTCAACCTCAGGCAGCACCACCAGCTCTCATTGTAATGTTGCACTAAGGAGACTCTGGAATATCAGCCAGCTCTCAGACTGGACTAGGCTACATCTCCAGGCTCCTCATTCACTGTCAAGGCGCTTTCTCTCTCTCTCTCTTTGAGCCTATCTCGATGCTCCCAACACCCCTACTTTGCATTGCTTTGCCTTGTCTTTGTGCACATTGCTCCCTCAGCCAAACCAAACCTCTTTCTTCTTAAAATTATCATGTCCCAACATACGCCTCTCAAACCTTGCTATCATTCATGTCTTTCTCCCCCCATGAGCACCAATGCAAAGGACTCATTACGGACCTCACACACTTTCCTCCAGCTCTATGCGTAAATTTCCTCCTTTGTCCTAGAGTGGACGTACCCTTTCCCTAGTTACTCCCTACTCCTAATACATGTTCAAAGTGCCTTGGGATTCTCCTTAATAATACTTGCCAAGGACGTTGTCCTTGAGAAAATGATGGTGAACCCCTTCTGCAGCGGTCCATGTGTTACAGGTACACGCACAGTGCTGTTAAGGAGGGAGCTCCAGGAAGTTACCCCAGTAACAATGAAAGGATATAGTTCCAAAATGGAGGTGATGCATGTGTGCCTTGGAAAAATGGTGTTCCTATGCACTTCCTGCCTCTAATCACTTCATAGTGTTTCTGCGACATTCAAAGTTACAAAGCAACATTATGCAGCTTTGATGATAACCAGTTTGTGTGATTGCTAGATCCCAGCTTCAGAGATCACTGTAAATCAGATGAACAGGAAGTTCTTTCGAGCAGCAACCTCAAAGAGATGTTGATAGGCACAGAGTTGAAGAGCCGCTGTCACTTGGCAAGGCGCCACATGTACACTTGAAGGAAAAGCTGCTTCTGACCAAGAAGTGACTACACTTCGGGAATCAGTCTCAGAAAGTCAACAAACAATTTGCCCCATTGTTCTTGCACAAACTCCCATTCTAATGGTGAGTATTTTTAATTGGATATGGTACATGGAGAAATGGTTCATCAATTTCAATTTGTTTTAGCGTGGTGAATTTAATGTTTGTTAGCAAATTTGTACTTTTACTCATTAACTCATCTTGATGTCGTTGTGAATGCTGAGCTTTTTGAGTTGGGGTTTCTAGAATGAGTGAAAATGAGTTATACCTGACCTATGTCTAGGAAACTGGGGTTTGAGAGCGAGCTGGTTTAGTTTGAGGTGTATTCGTCTTAAAACTAGTGTGCAGAGTTTATAATTGATGGCAGAGCAAGGGTTCTACACTGATGTCCAGTTTGTTGTTCTGATTCAAAATGTTTGCCTGCACATGGCACTGGACAGAATCAAAAGGGAATTAGCAACCTAGCCTATACTGAGGCAAGGGATTTACAATGTCATACAACAGCAAAAATGGTCTGCATCATATCTTGGCTTATTGATTGATAACATAAAATAATGGGATAGCACATATTGGTCACTGGAAGCAGAAGGTATGCCATAACTAAAAAAAAGGAAAGTAGGAAAAGAAGGAAGGGTTTGGAATTAGTACAATCCAATCATCCATGGTACCTACCTGTCTTTCTAAAGGCAAGAACTCTTGATATTTTCCTGATCAATCTGTTCAATGATGTTACTACACATATCTGGAATAGGTGGGACCTGTGACTAGTCTTCCTGGCTTGGAGGTAAGGACACTACCACTGCATCACAAAAGCCCCTCACTCTAAATTCAGGCCTCCAAGAACTGAAAGTCTAATGCTCTCATTCAACTCTGGATCAGTACTTTGTCTAATTTTTGTACTGGCTTCATTAACCTTGGAGACTCATTGACTCTGATCGCACAGGGTCTCGGAGCAGCCGTGACTGTACGCAGGAGCTGCTCATTTTGAGTCTTAAAAGGTCCCTGCATTTCTAACGTTGACCTTAATCCAGTGACAGTGAAGGAACGGTGTTATATTTCCAAGTCAGGATGGTGAATGGATAGGAGGGAAACTTGCAGGTAGTGGTGTTCCCATGTATCTGCTGCCTTTGTCCTAGATTGTAGTGGTCACAGTTTGGAAGATGCTGTCCAAGGAGCCCTCATGGATATCTGCAGTATATCTTGCAGATGGAATACACTGCTGCTACTTTGTTTCGATGGTGGAGGATGTGTACGTTTGTGGATGGGGTGCCTATCAAGTGGGCTGCTTTGTCCTGGATGGTGTTGGAGCTGCACTCATCCAGGCAAGTGGGGAATATTCCATCACGTTCCTCACTTGTGCGTTGTAGATACTGGACAGGCTTTGGGGAGTGAGGAGGTGAGTTACTCGATGCAGAATTCTTCAATAGTAAAAGGGAGGATGGCAGGCAATCGAGACTGAATGTGACAGATGATGAGCTCAATAGCAGAAGGCTGAGACAGCACCACACAGTACAGAGAATGGTTCCAAGGACTTCCCAATTCAACATGGACCAGATACTAAATTGTAAGATATTCCTTCACAGTGTAATTCAGTTCAACAATAGAAATTTCATTGACAAAATGTGTCCTTTTCTAGAAAGTGAAGTATGTATACTTTTCAATGAGTGATTGAAGAAACATTGGTTATTTCAAAGTGATTCATATTGTGTTGGTATTGCTTTATAAATGAGTAAAAAAATACTCATTTATGAAGAATGTTCCTGTTTTGCAGTGGCTGGATTTCTCATTCGGTAACACCAGTCAGAAACATAATGATAAGAACATGAGAAAAAGAAGCAGGAGTGACCCATACAGCCCATTGAGCCTGCTTAGTGACTAAGGAACAGGAGTAAGCCATTCAGCAGGCCACTCAAAAACTAACTTCCACAGCCCCCTGTGGCAGAGAATTCTAAAGGTTCACAACCCTATCAGTCATTACACTGTTGGTGTGGGTGGCATGGTGGCTCAGTGGTTAGCACTGCTGCCTCATAGCACCAGAGATCCAGGTTCGATTTCAGCATTGGGCCACTGTCTGCGTGGAGTTTGTACATTCTCCCCATGTCTGCATAGGTTTCCTCCCGATGCTCTGGTTTCCTCCCACAGTCCAAAGATGTGCAGGCTAGGTGGATTAGCCATGGGAAATAGGGATTAGGTGGGATACTGTTCAGAGGGTCAGTGTGGACTCATTGGGCCAAATGGCCTGGTTCCACACTGTAGAGATTCTATGATTCTAAAGCAATTCCTCCTCATCTTGGACCTAATTGGCATCCTCCTTATTTTTAAATTGAGCCTCTAGTTCTAAACTCCCCAACTAGGGCTTACATGCATTTACGTTGTCTATCCCTTTAAGTATGTTCTTGACTTCAATGAGATTGCCTCTTATTCTTTAGTACATTGGAGAATACAAGCTGTTTGCCCAATCTTTCTCATAAGACAAGCCAAGTCATCCTAAGAACAAATCTAGTGAACTTCTGTTGCACACCTTCTGTGACAATTACAACTCTCCAGAGGCTAAAATGGCACACAAACAATCCTCCAAGTGTGGTCTAAGCAAGCTCCTAAACAGTTGGAGCAAGACTTCACTACTACTGTACTCAAAACCTTTTACAGTAAAGCCTGCCACTCCATTAGGCCACCTAATAGCTTGCCACACCTATACGTTGGCCTTAAATAACTTACCAACAAGGACACCTAGGTCCATTTGTGCATTTCCACTTTCCAACCTCTTCCCATTTAGGAATATCCTGCACATTTGTTCCTCCTAACAAAGTGGATGACCTCACATTTCTCAACGTTATATTCAATCTGCTACATTCTTGCCTATTCACTAAGCCTGTCCAAATCCTCTTTAAAACTGACTTATATCTTCCTCACAAAACACATGCCCACTTAGCTTTGCGTCATTCCCTTGCGGTGTGATGGTTACACAGTGGGAAAGTCCCTGGCCTGGTAATCCAGAGACCTAGGCTAATGACTTGGGTTGAGGGTTCAATTTCCAGTGAGACAGTTGGTGGAATGTGGTCGTTCAAAAAGATGGCTCCAAACTGAGCTGCCACGAGCAGGTATTTGTACTTGATGCAGCAATGCTTATATTGGCTACCATAAGATAAGAACTAGACACGACTTATGTGATATTGAAAGATTCATGTTTAGTACAGCCCCTGAATTTCACATATATTTACATGCACAGGCTCTTCAGTGTTTTGGTTAGTATTAACAAAAATGAGCACATTTCCCTCAGCATGTCATGCTTCAATTGGCCCCAGTTAAGATGGAGTCTGAAACCTTTATGTCCTCAGGACACTTAATATGATGTAGTGGTGATGTCACAAGCATGTTTCTTCAAGGTATACTTGTATACTGACCTGCTGACATAACACAACAACAGCTATCTTCTCAGGCATAGTTAGGAATCAGCAATAAATGGTTGCCTAGACAGCGATGCCACACCTTGTGAAAGAATAATAAACATGTTGAATCAGGTGAGGAATTTAGGAGATGATTGTGGAAGCCAAGTTCCTTAAAAGTTCGAAAACAAGGGTGCAATGTTATCCTGCAGTGACATCTTGTCGATCAAATGCCGTTTTGATCCATGGTCTTAATTGTTGACTCAATATTGATTCCGAAGCAACTTATCTTAGTCATATTTGCAAACAAAGGCATCTGTGGAACATTACCACTGAGGCACTTTTCTAAAAGTGCTTGTGAAACAGTAACTTTCATTAAAAATATATTGATTTCTAATCTGTACCCTTCGGAAACTCCACATGGGCTGATACTGTAACCAGAAGTTCTGAAAGACATTTAAAATTTTTAGATGTGGTGAGGAATAGTTGCATGGTTTAAGCTGGAACATTCTTGTAACATGAAGTGGGGCGAGGGGAATTTTCAGGCTGCTTTGAATTCTTCGAAGAAATGGAAATCATTTGAATTACTCCATTTCTCTTTCTTTTCCTGTCAGCTTGAGGCACAGCAGAAACTGAAAAATGCAAACTTTTACAAATTTTCTTTATTGTTACATTCTGGACTTCTTTTGAAAATTTCTTCCCTTGTGTCCTGAAAGGATTGACTCCTTTGGGGCTACTATTTGACATAGTCCAAGAGTTCTGTCGAGTTAAAATCAAAATATTGTGAACGCTGGAAATATGAAACCGGCTGGATGACTGTATGACACAGAGAGTGCTGGAGAAACTCAGCATGTCTCCCAGCGTCTGTGGAGAGAGAAACAGAGTTAACATTTGAGTCCAGCAAGAATCTTCTACCTTGTTGTTTCCAGGATTAGTGCTGATGACATGTCCTCTGGAAATCTGCCCTCTACAGCTTTCCTATCCCTATAATCCTGCACCACCCACTTGTATCTCCTTCCCATTATCTACACAGCTCTGGCAGACCCATCATTTCAGCCTCTCCCTTCCCCACTGAATTTATTTCTTCCTGCCTTTACTCTATTTTGTCCCTCCTTATTCAGTCTATCCCTATTTATATTTGTGATTCTCCTGAGGCATAGCATCCCCACTGTGTGGAAGCAATCCATGAAGTCCTACACCAGCCCTCTGAAGAGCATCCCAACCCCTGCCACTTTACATTTCCCTTGGCTAATCCCCCTAGCCTGCACACTATAGGCAAGTGTAGCATGAGAAGTTCACCTAATTTGCACAACTTTAGACTGTGGGAGGACACCAGAGCACTCAAAGGAAACCCACACAGACACTGGAGACAGTCACCCAAGGCTGGAATCGAACCCAGGTTCCTGGGTGCCATAAGGAACCCATGCTAACCACTGAGCCATCATGCTACCCAATATCAGACTCAAAACATTAACTCTGTTTCCTCTCTCCATATATGACACCAGACCTGCCGAGTTACCACAGTACACTGGTTATTTTCTATAAAGTTGTCATTCTCTATCTGTGATCGTAGATTATAATAGTGAAGGAAATCACAGTCAAGTCTGAAACAAATCCAGTGACCTTTCTTCAGAACTGTTCTCCGCAAATGTTTGTTTGATTGCGAAGAAGTCTTGTCCTATTTTTACACCTGCACCT